GAAGTCATGAGTCGTGCGCAAGTAATTTTAGGTACTTTCCGCTCCATGTAAAGGAATCCGAGAAAATCTTTGCTTGTAAAATCAGGAATGCTGGGTTTTGGAATAAGGAACACAGCTCAAGGAATCCGGAATCCCGCTAACTAATGGAATCCAGAATCCAAGTTCAACGAGAACAGAGACTGAAATCCAGGACCTGGAATCCTGAAATCCACGGCGTGGAATCCAGAATACCAGACTGTCTTGGATTGCTTTACATCATGGGATAATTCTTTTCTCTTGTCGTCATGTTGAATCCGGAGGGGGCTCTAGAGAAAAGCCCGGTTCACTTTATGATCTGTGTTCCTTTTAGGACGCTGAACGACGAGTTAGTGGGTACACTGAGATACTTTACGAAAGACACCAACAAGGATCGCATCACCATATACCTGTCAGTATACATAACGCCCAAAGAAGCGATTTCCTTTCTAAACTATAAAGAAAAGAAGTCATGCACAAATTGGGTTTATATTTCGGTTCCACAAGTAAGTCGCCAGCTGTTAGAGTTGCATTTTTCTGAAAGTGTTGGTAAAAAATTAAAAGTAAGAAGGTTTTTCAATTTAGAGTGTTTTCATTAAAAATGGAGTTAAAGAGAATTCTCGAGAATTATCTTTTCGGTAGCATAAAAGCAAAGGTATATTCCAGGGAATTCTTGGCACTTTCGGAGAAGGCGTTTTGAAATCCTGGTAAATGTACTTTCGATCGAGAATGATGTTTCTGTGTGTTTTATTAATGATACCAGGAGCCCTTAACCCTGATTCTACTTGTACTCACTTTTGGGTGTCTCGGTATTCTGTAGTACATTTTATATTTACAAGAGGGACGTACGCTCCGGCGTGATAGGATGATCGTTAGCGTACGACATGAAAGTGTTTTCTTTCCTTCTTCAGAAATCCTACCTACAATGAGACCAAGGCGATTGAAATCACTGCAAAGAATTACGAAAGAGCAGATTTATCCTTTGTTTCCACATTCCTGGAGCTGGGATTCACATTCACAGCTCAAAACAAAACGGACTTGACGCAACATTTTACGATGCTACCATGTCCTGAGGGAACCTATTCTATGGGAACTCTAGGATGCGTGGAATGCCCCCCGGGTAAGCGTGTTAATGTTATCGTGCCCCTAATTGAGGGGATGATAAGTCATATCTTAGGTTGCAAAAGTCATCCCTCCCCTTCTTCCCCCAGAAAGGGGCACATGGGTGGACAAGTTGATCATATAACTATTCCATTTTTGACTATGTCGACCACCGAGCGAAAGAAGATTTCCCACAGTAAGTTATCTCTACTTTCGGAATAGTGCTTTGAAATATCTCAGCCAAAAGTACAAATTAAAATGAACACGTAAATTTGGGAATTTCTATTTATGAATCTTTAAGATTAATAGCGTTTGCAAATATTGTAATCAGCAGTGATCAGTAATGTTTTCCTTGTAGGGGGCTTTTTGTCTGACAGTGTCAGCTATGTAGCACAACAGTGCGAAAGATGTCCAATAGGAGCGTTTGTTTCATTAGAAAAACAACCAGGTACAAGATATAAGCATTGCAGAGCATGTCCGCGAGGTAAGTAGATTATCATGTAAACAATAACGGTTTTATGAGAATAGTAGGGAGATAAAGCCGCCACGATAGCGAGGGCATGCAACGAGATCTTCGAAAAATAGTTAAGAATACACAAAACAACAACTCTGCACGTGAATCACAATTTTTATAGTATAACTCTTTTCTGTTGCTGCAGACATACCACAAGAAATATCGTGGTAGGAAGTTTTATTGAAGACGTAAACACACTATGACATATTTTTTTTTATTCTAAACTTTGATGCGGTCTCTCAAAATTCGTTTTCTGGAAAATTCGCCTACATTTATAACAAACTGAGAGTTGAAATGATCAGGATCGCCTTCTCGGTTGCTTAAGCTATAACCGTTGCACCTTATACACCCAACCCCTGTTACTCATGAAAGCTATCACAATGGACTTTTAAGCTCAAAAGTTGCTTTTATGGCGCAAAAGTAAACTAACCTATTTTAATCCAGCTGAGGTCGGAGGTCGGCTAGGTTTTTCCTCTCACATATCCTCCTTTTCTTTTGTCGTTATTCCTTTGATAATTTTTTTTATTTAGAGAACAGGATTTTGTTAAGAAAATTTTATTGTGTCTTAATTAATAATCGTTTGGTACGTTTCACCTGATAAAAATAAACCAAGCATTAGCGAGGCGAAGGCTTACTCTCAAGTGATCAACCATAATACGTTCTGGCAAACTGTCCTCCTACCCTTCCCCTAAGCCAACATTAACACTTACTTCTCCCTTAGGGCAAAATGTTGGCTCAAGGGAGGGGTAGATGGGCAGTTTCCAGAAACATATAATGATCCAGAGCGGCCTTACTTGGACAGGTATAGTAGCAGTCTTTTATCGACTGATATATGTTTATTGTGAGTTTTTGTCACTGTTAGGAACAAACACCGAACGCATGGCTGGGCTCTTTGCTTGCAACTGTTTGGATGGATTTTATCGAACAAATATCTTTGGAAAATGTTTTGAATGTGAAGGAAACGAATTCGAAGGTTTGGATTGCTCTGGAGACTACCTAGATTTGAAACCAGGCTACTGGTGGGCGTGGCAGAATTACACGCACAAAGAACGGTACAGGAACTTCACCTCAAATATTAACAACCCTGCTCCCGCATATGATCCTGGACAAGGTCAGGACTTCATTGATTATACTTACCCTATGCCGAAACCTACCAAGTGTCCTCGAGAAAGGTCAGTCGGTCAACTAGTGACTTTTGTGACTAGTGACTAGTGAGTTAAAATTTTGTTTTGTTTGTTTGTTTGTTTCCAGGTAATTTTTTAAATTATGTTCGAATCGTGAAGGCCAAATAGGGAAGAGAAGTCCTTACGTCACGTTGCAATGGAAGCAAAATTTCTGGGTGACAACAAACCAAAAAGTCACTTAAAAAGTGGATTCGCACTGTTTCAAACTTCATCGATCTAATTTGTTGGCGAAATTAGGTCTTGAAATACGACTAATCAAACATGGTACAACACTGTGATTTAACAAAAGATGTTTATATTGTCTCTCGTGTAGATCTTGCCCTGGAGGTGTAGCGTCCCTAGACAATCCTTGTGAACCAGGCTACGAAGGCCCTGTCTGTGGGATTTGCAGTGACGGATACTACAAACAGATACAAGCTTGCAGAAAATGCCCCACCAAGACAGCCGTTGCAATACAGTTGGCGTTGATTGCAGCTGCCGTGCTCCTGGTCGTTGCAATTATAATCTGGTACAGCAGAAAGAATGTGAAGAAGACACAAAGACGTGCCTTGATTGACATCGTGTTCGCCCGACTGAAAATTATCATTGGATTTTATCAGGTATGATGCAGACCATAAGACTGGTTTCCCGACAAGTATTCTTTCATTTTCCTCAAAGATAGGATAGCATGTGAGACATGCTAGCGCTAAGGAATCGATCACCCCTCTTGAGAAGACACAGAGCATTTGTGGCTGATTTTCCCAGGTCTTAAAATAACTGACAACAAAGTACGTGCTGCCTTTGTAATGACATCTTCAAACGGTTAGACTCCCAAATCTTCTCTCGGATAAGGACGAAAAACCGTAGGTCCTCTCTCACAGCGCTTTTACTCATCTGGTTCTTGTTGGACGTAAAAGAACCCCCACCAATGTTCAAAAAGAGTGGGGGACGTAGACCCCCATGGTGCGGCCAACCTTTACTAGTCCGGGTGGGTTATCTGTGAGGAGAGATCTCCTGATATGGGGATAACCACGTGATCCTCCTTCGGGTGTCGTAATGGCTACCTTTAAACATTCAGTGTATGTAATAATTCCATGCAGTTCCACTCCTTTCATTATTAATTCCATTCGCCTATTTATTCCCATCATAGCATCTCTTTGACATCTATGAGAAGCTGGAACGCATTGACGATGCGAAAGCCAAGCTGGTATCCTTGTTTCTCATGCCTCTACATACCGCCGCGCCCTGGCAGCTGTTTACTTGAAGAAGTTGTCAATGAGCGAGTGCCGTATTGTACTGCACTCATGTCTTCTAATTAAAATTGAATTGCGATTCGATATCAACGTAGAAAAGTGAAGATTCATTCAACAAGATTTTTATTTATTTTATTTTATTATTTTTGCCCGTGGCGGGGAAATCTTCGAGAAGCCAAATGACGAACTTATAGGAAAAAGAGATTTTCCTGATGATGCGCATGCTAAACCCATAAATTGTTAATATCCTCGTCAGCTTTATACGGTTGTTTTTATGATGATTTATGCTTTTTTTTTTCTTCAGGTAACCTATGGTCTTTTAGAAGCTTTTTCGTTCGTCAGATGGCCAGACGCCTTGGAAGATATTGCCAAGTATTCAGAAGTACTGCAGTTGAATTTTCTTCAGATGGCACCATTGCACTGTCTGATTAGAGGGATTAAGGTAAGGGATCACCACAAAACGATGGGCGGGGTAGTCCAGGTTTCTAGGCCTCTGCTTGCCCCTGAAAAAAAGATGGAGAAGTTCTGAACTTCTCCCAGGGTCACTACTGCGCAGTAGACCCAAAATGATTTATTTTCCTCCATGCCAGAGGTTGAACGGAAGATAACTATATTCGCATGAGAAATTATACATCTGACAGTTATTAGTATGAGGACCTAGTTGACGTCCTATTAAATGGCGGATAACGACGATANAGTAAGATTATTGCGCTATTGCAATATCGTGATTGCAATAAACGATAAAAGTAAGATAATCAGAAATAACTTACTATACGGTATCTTTGTTATCTCCCAAAAGGTGGACGCCTTTGGTAGCTTGTATGCAGCCATGGCATTGAACGCTGCTGTTTCGTTGCTGTTCGCTTCGATTTTCTGGTTGCGAAAGTTGATGATCCGTTTAGACAAAACTTTGTCCGATGCCGAAAAAACAAAGAAGATCTCCCACACTAAAGAACTTGTCTACCGAAACCTGTTCTTCTTCCTTTTCGTGACGTACTTGAGCACGTGTTCAAAGACAGCTAATGTCCTGCCTCCTGCCTGTCGCCGGCTCTGCATTAATCGAGAACAGACGCTTTGTGACGATTACTTGAAGGCTGACTATGGCATCAAGTGCCATGGTTCACAGTACCACGTGCGACTCATAGCGGCATATGTGAATCTTGCCTACATCTTCGCACTTCCAGCCTTTTGTATCATTGTTCTTTGGAGACAAAAGAGGGTGTTTCTGGGTTCAGAGGGAAATGAAAGGTACTTGGCTCCTCAAGAGAATAAGGAAATAGTGACAGGATTGCGTTTTCTTTATGAAAACTACAAAACAAAGACCTGGTATTGGGAAGTGATTGAGATGGCGCGAAAGGTAACATTTATTTTCACTCCCCTTCCCTCCCCTCCCTCTAACACTTAAATTTCTCCTCTCTCCACTCCCCGCCTCCCTGATACAAACGGTCGCAGTTTGGTCTCGACTTATATTACTATACTGTGACAAAACAAAACGATAACCACAAAGACTGTCTTGTACCATCCCTCATTATAGCCTTAATAACAAACAGTAGCTCATTTTGTCGTTAGCATTACTGTGTACCGCTTAACAACTTATGAATCTTCCTCTATATGAATACAACTACTTTGTCATTCTCCTACTAATTTTTTATCATTTACTTCTTCATTTTGTAACAAAAGAAAGACCTTTCACCTTTAACTACAAAGACTGTCTTGTACCATGCCTAATTAGCCTTAGTAACAAACAATAGCTTATTTTGTCTTAAGTATTACTGTGGACGACTTCATTCTCCTTCTAATTTTCTATCACTTCTTCATTTTTTAACAAAAGAAAGACCCTTCACCTTTAAAAACGTTTCTCTCTTTCTTCAATTGTCTGCACTTCGTTAACGGTTTCAGATAGCCCTGACGTCTGGCTTAATTTTGGTGGGTGGTGAAACTAGAGTCTTCGTTGGCGTGACTTGCGTCCTTGCTGCGCTTTATGGGATGGCCTTTGCTTACTACGCTCCTATTCAAGACTATTTCGAGAATAACTTGATGGTTTCTGCACTCTCCGTTACATTTGTTAATCTGGGTATTGGAGCTGTGAGCAGGATACCTGCAGAGAACCGCCCACC